GGAAAGAGTTTAAGTAATATGTCCTTTTGTTTAAAATATATATTATTTTGGACTGGTAGTCTAATATATTCTTATTTCATAAAAATAATTTCATTGATTGCATCATCACCACGATAGGCTTAGGAGATGTTTATGAGTATAAAATCATAATGAGTATGCTTGACATTATCATAAATTATTAAACATATGGTAAGAGACTTCTATGGATTAGGGAAGATGTTTGGGTTGTGTTTTTGTAGAGTATGATATTTTTTAATATATTTTTAAGGGGGGGAAGAATAAATAGAATAGAGCTTCAGGCATGAGTAGCTTCCTTCTAGTGGTGGCCCCATATCACACTTTGAGTATAAGAGAAAAATAGCAATTCAAAAATATATAGATGTTTAATTTTCTTCATAAAAAATGTATTGATTTCCTATATTATTTTTGTTAAAAAAAATGTTAAATGGAGATCCCAAGCCGATGGAGCTACATGCTCACAAACTTTCTAACACCAAGGGAGCAGATGTGGGTTAATGCTAGATTATAATGCACATATAAAATTTTGAAAGTTTTGATAAATGACAAAATTATACAGAATTATATGTTTTAAAGCTAGATTCTTATCTTTTTGTAGGAGTAAATGAGCCTAAGAGAATTGAAAAAAATAATTGAGTGGATACAAATGATAAGTTATTATGAAAGATGGTTGTTGTATTTAGTGAATTAAGGCATGGAATTTAGAGTGATATCATTATAGTTTAAGATGGAAATGTTATGTCGATAATAACACAGCAACAACAAGCCATTGTCCCACAAAATGGGATGAGCTAAATGAATCCTTTTTCTCCACTGTGTCCTATTAAGTGTCATATTTCCAGTTAAATCTAATAAATTAAGATCATTTTTTTATACAGCATGCCCAAGTCATTTTTGGTCTATCGCTACCTTTATTAGCACAAGTCTAATCTAAAACATCTACTCTCCAAACTGGATCATCAGATGGTTAACGCTTAATGTGACCAAACCATCTAAGATGACTCTTTTAATTTTGTTTGTCACTAGAGCTACACCAACCTTTTCACATATACATTCATTTTGCATTTTGTCTCTTAGAATCAAGCCACTTATCCATGTAAGCATTCTCATCTCAGCAATACTTAAAGTTAGTTTTATGCTTCTCTTTTAGGCCAACATTCAGCCCCATAAAGCATTGCAGGTCTCACTGTCATCTTATTAAATTTTTCTTTAAGTTAAGTGGATCTTTTCTATCACACAATAGGCCTAATGCATTCCTCCATTTCAACCATCCAACTTGAATTCAACTAATAATATCCCATCAATATCACCATCACTTTGAACAATAGACCGAAGATATCTAAAACGCTCACTAATCTACTACTAATAAAATTATTTTTCTTGTATTCAATTTTTTATCTACTCAAATGAAGGCCTTTAGACTATAATGTAGAGTTCTGTAATTCAAGTTTATCTTGAATTCTTTTCTCCAGTCTTATCCACAAAAAGGATGTCATCAGCTAAAGCATACACCAAGGTAAATCCTTCTGTAAATGTCCACAATAATAATGAAATATAAAACTTATACAAGTGGTGAAGGAGGAGAAAGACGAAGAGGTAGTAGAAGAATAATAGCTTAGGTTTGTTAGATTATATTAATGTTTATATATTGCATTGCATTCTGAGTTCTTTTTAGTTTATCTTTTTTGTATGTTTTAAGAATTTTAATTGAAACTCTTTTTCATAAAATTGTTGTCATTTGAATTGTGTAATCTAAAATTGCTAAACAACGTATATTGTGTTTTAAGAATTTATTTTGTCAAAAACTTTACCTGTGAAATTGTATACAATGTTATTGTAGTATGTATTGTTGTGTTTTATTATAAGACCAGCTAAAAGTTCCCTGATGTAATGTAGAGATCTTTTTTTTTTTGTTTTTTTGGTGGTTTCTAGTTGGTTTATCATTGAAAAGTGAAGGAAATAATTCATCTTGAGAACATGGAGGAAGCTTTATCGATTTAATTGAAGATAATACTTTTGGATGCCAAGCTTATTAGAAACCCACCAAAAATGTCAATTAATAAGTTGTTGGCATACTACCTAGCTGGTAATTTCTTGTGATGACTTCATGCTTTAGTATATTAATTTCAACTCTAAGCAACAATCAATTCATCTTAATTTTCATTAAAAAAATCTTTTTAAAAATTATATCGATTCTTAGAAAAATTTTATTCCATTGTGTTATTTGGCATTGGAGTGAGGTCGATAAAAAATACTACTAAAATACTTATTGATACTACTAAAATACTTATTTTTTGATGGATTTTCATTATTTTTCAACTGTTTTTGTTGTGGAATAAATCATTTTTTTCTATATTATTCAATCAACGGATAACATTTATTACTAATTTATGTTTCACATATTCAATAACAGATGCATGTCCTTCTCATTTCCCAACACTAATGATCAGTTTTTATGATCATCATTTGTCAATATTGTTCATCAACATACACTAAACTTTCATTTCTCTATATACCCTTTAGCACTCTGAGTTCTTGTATTATACTTCTCCCTTCTATACTTTTACTGAAACGTTTACATTTGTAAATTTAAATTTAGATTGGTCGATCTATTTTCACTAGGTAATGATTTAAGATTTAGAGTTGAAAACCAGCAGTTAAAAAATTCAGTAAAATATGATGAAATTTTATTAAATCATTTATTATGGGGTTTTATTCTTTGAAAATATTATTATATGTCTTATACAACACTAAATTTGCATCACTATCATTTTGATGACTTGTTTTTTCCTCTATCTCCCTGCATGGCCCTGTAAGAAATCCATACACATGGGATAATAGGCAACTTTTTAATAGAAGCTTGGAAACACAAATCATGACCTCAAATATGAATAATATAATCAATGGAGTACTACCCTCTATCAAAAAAGCCTCAACGTTCACTCTTTATTTACTAACTCAATATATATTTTTTTATCTTTAGAGGAAAATTTAGCATTGGAACTAAAACTGTCATCTCCTAAAGCCCCAGAATGGCTATTTAAAGTGTTAGGAGAAAAAATAGAGACTAATATTTTATTTTTAGAAATTATTCAAACTGTTTTTAAAATTTCCCTAGAATGAATTTGTTTTAACCATTTAAAAAAGAAGATTTAAAATTTAAAAAAAATCCCCACTAAATTTATTTTAATTTTTGTTCCTATATTTCAATTTTGAGCGGTTGATGAGGTATGATTTTACAAAATTTTACAGAGGAGAATGTTTTGGCATAAAAGTTTAAAAATATTCAATGAATGGTTAGTCATAGCATGTTATATCATTAATCTATCAACCAAAAAACCTCCATGAGCACGGAAACATTGCATATATTGTCTTGCTTGTTTTTGTTGCCTATATTTCATTGTCATGTATGTTGAACTAGGGATCCTGCTTGTTCAGTTTAACTCTCCAACTTTATTTTCTTATTCAATAGTCAAGGATTGTGCAATGCCATCACTTCATTCTAATACGTCAAAAATAAATCGACAGGAACCTCGAGGAAATTTAATGAACTATAAGCTAAAAGTACAGTCAAGGATGACCCATCAGAAGAAGCAGGAATCAAGTCAGTAGAAGACCAAAGGATCCTTTTGACAGGCTACAACTCTCTCCAAACAGGATTCGAGCTTACCGAACAAAGGTCATCAGAATAAAAAAATCAAGACTTATTTAACCGAAGGAACAAACCAATCAAAATTTCATTTAAATATCATCAAACGCCTCACATGAGCCTCCAACCAAAAAACATTCATTGAGCCTTCTAAATGGATCACTTGTCAAATGGGGAAGGCTACCAGTTCGATTTCGGTGCTTCACCCTCTACCCTCGACAGCTTATTTCTACACCAACAACATGAGTTTCCTATCCAAGAACCAACCGACTGACTCAAGCCGACCGAATGAAGTTCGAACAACCGACCAAAGTCTGGAAGACCTAAGGTCTATTAGGGCCGTCCAACTGACCCAACTCGACAGAATCAGCACAATGTGCCCGGTCCGAACCAAGGATTGTGTACATTTCCCCGTCTATTGAATGAAAGGGTACCGAACCATAAGCTCCTCTATTTCCTATATGCCTAAATTATCATGTTACATTCCCATAAAAGTCGAGGCAGTCATGTAACTTTTCACTTTACATATATATCCTCTTGCTTATAAAGAACCAGATTTTTACTGTATATTCTCTCATTCTCTCTCTCTCTCTCTCACTCTTCTCTGTTTCACGCGCTATTATTTGAGTGTACTCTCTCTCTCTCTCTCTCTCTCTCTCTTCTCTGTTTCACGCTCTATTATTTGAAAGTAATTCACAAGATAGATCTGAATTCAACAATTCCTCAAACAGAATTCTTAACAATTTATGATTATATTAGGCTGTGTTTGGTAGCTGACTGGATTTACGTGTATTTAACTTAAATCCAACCATACATGAAAAACCCTAATCCCATATTTTGTAAATCCGATAGATAAACAGATTTAAGGGATTTCAGGAAGTACCTCATATCGTCGCTTTCCAAATTCACGACACACATTAGAAGGATTTAACGAGATTTAGCTATAACTGAACCAAACATAATTATGAATCTAATACCTGCATTTCTTGAAGAAGGGGTGGCAGAGAAGCTTGTCGGCCGACGGACGGCTGGAAGGGTCCTGAGAAAGACAGAGAGCCACCATCTCCCTGAAAGCCTTGGAAAGCTTCTTCTTCCCGTTGTAGAATTTCTTAGCATCATTTATCCACAGTCGGCTGGTGACCCGCGCGAGCAAGGACTTGGAGGGCGGAAGATGGGAAAGCGGAGGTCGGCCGTAAGCAATCTCTAGGGCTGTGATTCCGAAGGACCATATATCAGCTTTTATTCCGTAGCCGACGTGGGAGTGGATGACCTAAAATTTGAAGCAATTTTTCATTTTGTTCTGAGATGATTTAAATAGAAAAGTATTGCGACGCAGGGTTGTTAACGATCTGATTTCGAATCTCAAAATCTGCTCGAAAATAATTTGATTCAAAATTTTAACTCGTAGTCTCTTGGCTAGTTTATTTCAATGTGATCTCGATCCAGGCCAAAATTTGAATCAATTTTCGAGCGATTAATATTTTTTATGCTAGTTCGTTATTTTCTCAGTCATAGACTATTAAAGATCCAATTTTGAGCAGACTTGGGTTGGCTCGGAAAAAATTTGATCCAAATCCTTGATTGGTAGCTCAGGTCGTTTACTTCGATACGAGCCAACATTCGAATCAATCTTGGAGCAATTAAAGATTTTCGAGCTACGTTAATTGAGTTCGGAATATTAAATAAATCATCCTAAATTGTAAGAGATTTCTTTTTAATTTATAAGAAAATAATACTAGAGATTATCATCTTCTTAAATAAAGTTATGTCCTACGAACGATGGTATAATTAGAGATGAAATGATGCTCAAATATCCCTTGTACAGCCAGAAATTTCTGCCTTCTATATGTCTTCTCGCTTTTTATTAGAAACAAATTATTTTTCTATAATTTTCTTATGATAGATAATATATAAGCATATATCATTAGATTTTAAAAATCCACGTAAATGCAAGTAGGGGTGTAAACGAGTTGAACACGAGATATTTTGAGCTCAAAAAGTGTGTTCTCGTTCGGCTCGTTTGCTTAACGAGCAGCTGCTCATGAAATAAGAGACGTTTTGACAGCCCTAATCTTGTAGTCATAAGATGTTAAGGATTGGGACAAGATTTAAAAATTATTATTTATATTAAAATATCATTTGAATTTAATTTAATGTTTTTTATTATATTTTCTTAATTAATACTTTTAATTGATTATAATCATTGTAGCCTTATAGTCAATTAATTTTTTTAAAAATACTAATCATCAATATATCACAGATAGATGAATATATATAATTGATGAGTAGTATTTCGAGCCAAAACGAGTCGAACACGAACGAACAAATCTTGGTTCATGTTCGGCTCGTTAACTTAGCGAACGAGCCGAACATGAACCAATATTTGAGCTCGTTTTGGCTCGAAATATTACTACTCAATTATATATATTTATATTTGATGATTAGTATTTTTTTTTAAATTATAATCAATTAAAAATATTAATAAAGAAAATAGAATAAAAATTATTAAATTAGATTCAAATGATATTTTAAATCTTGGCCCAATCTTTAACATCTTATGACTATCTGATTAGAGTTGTCAAAAAAGATTATTTATTCATCAACGTCATGTATTCGGCTTGCTAAGTAAACAAGCCGCACAACTCGAAATATAAACGAAATAGAAGAGAATTTGGTGCTACCTAAATTTCCGCAAATAAAATTGAGAAGCTCGAAAGTTACAACAGACCTCCGGCGCCATCCAGCATGGCGTCCCCGCCATCTCCCTCAGCATCGAAAACGACGCCGATGAAGAAGAAGAAACCCCATCATAAATGGACGCCGAAACCCCAAAATCCGCCAACTTCACGCTCCCATCTCCCCCAACAAGAACATTCCCAGCCTTCACATCCCGGTGCACATTCCCCTGCCCGTGCAGATACGAAAGCGCCCGCAAAACATCTCGCAAAACGCAAGCCACCGCCGGCTCCGGCAATCCCCCGGGAAACGCAGACGCCAATATGGACTGCACCGAACCCGCGGACATGAGCGGCATGACCACCCAAAGACATTTCCCGGCCGCGAACGAGCAGTGGGCGCGGAGGACGTTGGAGTGGGAGAGCAGAGACATGGCCTTGGCTTCCCTGCGGACTTGCTCCAGCGCGCAGGCATGGGCGGGGGTGCGTTCGAGGTCGATGGATTTGATGGCGACGGGGAGGGAGGAGAGGGGGAGGCAAGCGGCTTTGTAGACTGTGGCGCTGACGCCGCGGCCGATTGCGTGGAGGAGGACGTAGGAGTTGGGGTTGGTTGGGAAGGGGATTTGAAGTTCTGTTTCTGGTTCGGAGTTTTTGGGGTATGGTTTGGTGGCAGAGCGGCTGTGGTGGACACGGCGGCCGCCGGGAAGGAAGTGTCGGCAAGCTTGCATTTTGGTTGGGGGATTGGTTGGATGGGGTTTGGTGTGTCAATGTTGTGGAATCTTTTCTTATAAAGATAGGGGAAAGGATGAAAAAAGGAGGGACTTTTGGATGCCATGTGAGGTGATGGGAAGGATTCATGTGAGTTTTTAGTTGCAGAGGAGCCGTTGTGGATGTCACGGAGTGAAATGAAGGAGGAGATGATTGGGAAAGGAGGGCAGTTGGGGGCTTTTTATTGCCGGCTGTTTCATTGGTTATGTTTTCTGGTCTTGTCCTTTTTAGTTTAGTTAGCATTAATATTTAAATGTTGATTTTTTTTGTGTGGCTAATGATTGGGAGGAGGTGGGGCCCATAAGGACTAAAGAAGTGATATTTTTTTATTTTGTTTTGCCATGGTTTTTGGAACGGGTTATTTAGAGGGTATTGGAGGATTATAAGTAGGTTACACTCAATACCTTTTGAATAACCTCCGACAACGCACACAGCTCTGTGTACGTCTTATGTATGTCACGGAGTGAAACGACAACGCTTGAGGTGCATGATTTTCCTCCTATTTTAGGACATCTAGTCACAATCCATAGACACTAAGAGCAATTATGGATGTGTTGCATAATTTATTGTTACTTGAATTTAACATAAATATATTTAAAAATGAGTGAAGTTTACTTTTTTCCAATTGATGCTTCGGTGTGATGGTAAAATAATTGTATCTAAGGAACTTGTGCTCAAGTATGTAGGAGGTTGAAGTAATCCTATTCGTGCCTCGTTACATGCTACGAAGATGGAGTTGAAAGACTAAATAATGCAAAGCTTGAAATATGATTCATGTGCATTGAATATGATCTGTCGTTGCCCAATGAATGGTGGATTCATTGCAATTCATGTCGATGGTGACGAGGTGAATGCGGTTGTTTTCGCCGAGGCTTCAAATAAAGTTCTAATGAATTATGTGAAGTTTGTTCCAATTTATCTCGTTGAACACATAATATTGGAACCGTCCTCAAATATATTTATCAGACTGCTGTGATGAGCATCATATATATTATTTTGAAAGCATGGGTTATTAAAATGATCTTTATTACAATTACTATTCAATTTATTATATTTTATTTATTTATTTATGATTACTTCATGGGAGATAAGTTCAACCCAAAATTTTCAAGCAATTTTGGAATCAGAGAAACAATTTTCTCTCATTATTGAAGCATATGAAACAATGGGTAGTAATTCAAATGATGATGACACTGATAGTGACAATAAGTCTGATAATGAAAGTAATGACAAGTAATATTACGTAAATTTGCAAGGGCATGAACTTATATAGGAGCAAATATTTCTTTATAATAATATAGTATATCAAACGACCAATAATAATGAGTACACATTGTATGTTGAAATTGCATAAGAGTGGGATGCGAATACAAATTTGGATGATCCAAGTGAGCACATCAATCTACTCAAGAAAGAAATTTTCTATCTAAGCTATTTTAAATTATGTTCTTTCAAACAAAGAGTAATTTTCAATATGTTATTAGTGGTTGACCAATAATTAATAACGCGCAGTAAAAGGCTATTTACATCAACAGAACTCAACTAACATTTATTTGTTTACAACATGATCATCCCAGTAGGCCATATCACTGGCGCCTTCATGCATCTACCAAGAAATGTATTTGTGATGTTTTGATGATTTTAAGCATACAGCACAACACAGTAGCACCAATCCAAGTCATCTGAACCTTGACAATGTGCCTCAAAGTTTTTATCATTATTTATTCTTCCTTTCATCCAAAAATAAATGGATATGAAGCCTCAGAAGATTATCAGTCATGTTGAATTCAAGTTTAACATTAAAATATCATATATTAAAACATGGGATGCTTGGAGGAAGACTCTTAGGGCAATATTGGAAAGGTAGGAAAGTCATATCATTCATTGTATAGATTTATGGAAGCAATTTATTCTACAATGAGAGGTTTTGTTTATAAAATTTAGGATGATCCATCAAATCCTTTTTTATGACTTTTTGTGGCTATTGGCAGCATCTAGAATCGATGATGAAAATAGTATATTTTCATTAGCATTTGTTGTTGTTGAGTTCGAATGTAATTACTCTTGATGGTGGTTTATAAATACATTGCATGAGACAATTCTGTCAGTGTTCAATATTTCATATTTCATGCACTTCTGTGATTGCAGCATTAGAAAATTATCGACTTGACCACGATTCACATATTGCCTAGTAATATAAAGAAATGTATGCGGCCTAATTTCATGTAATTTCAAATAGGTCTGAATTGGTGGATTTCAATATTGAACCTGGTATATCATTATCGACTTGACCACGATTCACATATTGCCTAGTACTATTTACTCTGTAAATCAAAAGAAATGTATGCAGCCTAATTTCATGTAATTTCAAATAGGTCTGAATAGGTGGATTTCAATATTGAACATGGTATATCGAGTTGCTTCCACAAACATTTAGATAAAGATTTGGACGACCACAGACCAAGCGCTACACTAACGCTATGGATGAGAATGGGACACTAATCTCTAAAATACATCGGGACACTATAAGTCTACTTGCCCACTGAACTCAATGAATAATAAGTAAAATTATCGAAACTTTACTAATTCAATTTGGTGCATGTTATAATTTATTTTCTTGTGTGTTTATTAATATTACACTTATAGGTACATATGACTAAAGCGGGGTAGAGACATCGTCCAGAGCGATGGTTCCGGGATCGCTATGATCCTCGTGATCATGACTATGTTTTTATTTTATTCTGAAGAACAAATCATCTATGATACTTTTGTAATTTAACTTATGACATTGTTACATCTCTCTACTTACTATTTTGTATTTCAAAGTTGAATTTTAGTGGCTTAATTTTTATCTTTATGCAATATTTTTACTGAATCATTTTGGGGTACTAATCATCACTTTCATTATTTAATAAATCAAGATTTATATTTGTTTATATAACTTTAATTTGCACATAAATTTTTGTCCATAATATATGCCAAATAATATTTATTTATCATATTATATTTTATTATATTTTATTATATTTGTTTATTGCATGATTTATATTTCTATATTATTTATTATAAATAAATCACATCAGTTACATCAATTGATAGAGCGTAGAGAATCACAAACCATAAATATACAAAAGGCATAATATAAAGTCATAAAATAGTAACAAATAACTATAATGAGGTAGTAACAATATTAGAAAAACCTCAAATAGAAGCACATCTATTAATAATACAAATTTAAATAACTACATTAAATTTCATCAACTACAATAACAACAATAAATATTTTATTTTTCTTAGAAACTTTGAAGTGACCTCTTTCTTTAGCTGGTGTCTGTGCGTGCGCGCCTCCTCTCTCTCTTTCTCTCTCTCTTTATATATATATATATATATATATATTTATGTATGTATATATATTTATATATCCTAGTAAATTTGAAAATATTTAAGAAAATAAGAATTCATTTGGAATAATTTTCAAATAAAAATTGTTAGAAATTATAATCAAGAAAAAATATATTTTTTATATTATTTTGTGTAATATATGTTTTACCAATTCTAAAAAAGCAGGTGATAATATTTTCCGGGACTATTACACTTTGATAAATGTAAATAAATAAAAAAACCTATTTTTCATTACATAAACTTAAAAAAAAAAAGGAAAAAAAATGGAGAAATATATAGACACACACACACACACACACTGCTTATCAGTTGTAAGATCCCTCTGGTCACACACACACACACGTGCATGTTGCGTACTCAGATCAGTTGGTCGGACATCTGCTTACCAGTTGTAAGACCCCTCTGGTCTGCAGGTTGATTCCCCCAGGTTGAGGGTGTGCTACTCGAATTGTTAGACGCATAGGGAATGACAGAGGCCTGTATAATAGCCTCACCTGTATAATAGCCTCAGGCCATTTCTTTTTTAAATATATCTATTTATATTTATATATTAGAAATAAATGAGACATTTTATTCCAAACATATCGAATCTTTTAATATAATAAAGAAATATAACCAATAATTAATGTTTTTTATGTCAATAATTATTAATGCTAATGAGTAAATTGTATGGCACTTACACATGCAAAGTACCCCCATATCTTAAATTGAGAAACATTTTTATTGACACTTAACATTGGATGTCATGCATCTTTTAAAGCCTCAAATGCAATTACCCAAAAAGAATATGTACTTGAGATATTTTGAAGTGTAACTAGAATCCTTAGATTTTTTTTTAATTATTTAACATAATATGATAGAACAGTAATTTATCAATGGATGCTTCAACCAACTCTTATGCATTAGTGATAACTTGTTCACAATGCTTAAAAGCATTCTTATATACATAAATTAATTCCATTGTCCATCCTAACATCTAAATTTAATATATTTGACTTTAAATTTGGGTTATATTTAATAGACTTTTCCTATTTATATTCAATAAAATATAATAGAGCTTATATCTCTTAACATCTGGATAGGAGTGTGCCACAATAAGTAACTATAATGTTGGATATGTTTAAACATGCCAAATTCTTAGCTCATGAGCTCCATGAATCTTAGACTTATAATGAAGCTACTAAATATCTGGTGGCTACAATCTGTTGTTGAAATATTATTTGGCATAGTTGAAAAAAATTGAAGACCAATACTGAATGAATATAATATGTCATTAAAAAGGATTTGAAAATCATCTTTTTATACTTATTTTGTAAAAGGAATTGATATTATGGATTGTGATACAAGAGAAGGATGATCATCTCCAACTATTTCTCTCAGCAATTGTGTGTCTAGGAGCTAATATATATGTGAACCATCTTTCATTTACTTCATTTCCCACTAAAACTCTAATCAATATAGTTGCTTCATAATAAGAATATTAATGCTTGATGTGCATTAAAAAAAAAAGTATGTCTATATGAGAAAATGGCTTATAATACATGAAGGAGGATATTTTCACCCAAAAATTTCTCATTTGGCTAAACAATCATACTTCTAAAAACAAAAATGGCAGCTAAACTCATAAATTACTCACTGAAGCTCATATAATTTCCGCACCGAAGGCAAACCATCATCCCTTGTAAAGTCCGGAGAAGTTGCGACGAGGATGCATGCAAACCCGAAATGGAACGATCCAAATTTGGCTTCAAATAACACACAAGGAGACGGCTATTGCAATTCGTGGAGGCACATGAAGCATTAACTTTCAGGTAGCAATAGTTGCATTAGGGCGTGAGAGGTGATTTCAAATGACTACGAATCGTTTCCCTATACTGAGCTTCATCAGGAATTGGACTGGTTAGAACAAGGTCTCGGCCCCCATCTTCAACAAAGAACGGTAAGCTTCCTGGATCTTTCTCCTCCAAAACTGCCCTTGCAGGAGTCATGGCAGGGTAATTATCTAAAATGAATTCAATATGATCTCCACTGATCTCTTTCTTATCCAGTAATACCTGGCGCCACATCAGTTGGAGAATTATTTAGGTGAAAGATGAGATGAATAATTAAATAGACTGCCAGATTGAATAGGAACAAACGTCACTAATTTGCTTATCATCAGCAACATAACTATATTTACCAGTCTTTGTTGAGCGCTATATAGAAGATGTTAATTCTAGTATTGTACAGATTTAATTGCATAACTTTTAGCCATGGTACAGTCTATTTTGCTTCCCAGAACTTTTCATGCAAACTTTATCCATCAGTTCTATCACTGCATCTGTGACTATTGTCCTATAGCTGAAATTACTTCAATTTATCTACAACAGGCATGCGAATAATGTGATCTCTATGGCCTTTAAAATAGTATTGTCCACTATGTTAGGAGGAAAGGAAAATATTATATTGTACATAAAAAATATGCGAGCATCGATCTTAAGGAGAGCTGCGGTCCAAAAAAAAAGAGTTCGACGAAAGAGGGCCAACTGACAAATGACCATAAGGCTTATTTGTCCGACCGAATGAAGCTCTACGAGCTGAGCCAGCCAGCCCAAAATCGACTAAGCCAAGAGAAAAAACCAAGGACCAGCTTACAATACAAGAACAAGCTCCTTAGCCAGAAATGAGACAAAAAGGGTATTTGAGCCAAGTGTCATAAAAGAGCCGATCCACGAGAAGAAGAGGTTCACCAGCATTTCCAATCATCCAAAGAACGTCAAGTAACTCCTCATCAGAGGCCAAAGATCAACAGACGGGTCATATCAACCAAAAAGCCGTAGCTACCAACCGCAACGGACTGATAGGATCTCATTTGATTGAGAGAATCTTAGCCATCGAGCTGGTCCTATCATCCTGAATGTAAAACCCAAAATTTAAGAAATCAAATAAAGTTCGGCAAATTGGAGAAGTACCCCAAATTTTTACATCTCTGGGAATTCGACCGAAATAATTTTATTAAATTCTATCCATGAAATTGAACAATTCTATACAAAGCGTCATATGTTAATTATGAACAAAATGGAAGATTCAAAATTTGAAAGTTACACGTTTTATTAAATTAATTAAACTTAATTAAATGCCTAAATTCCACATGATCATTGTTCCCCACCGACCTTATGTCATTTTGTTCCATTCGTTCAATCAAACAAGATTGTGAGCATCGATTTCATTCCCCTCTCGAATTTCCTTCTCCTCTATCATGATTCTCCCTCTCCCTCACTACAGCAACTTGTCAGCGACTCGGTAAGCACCTTGTGGCCCTTGCTAAAGTGTAGGGGCGATCAAGAGTAGGTCGAGTGGCAAACAGAGAGCCAGTTGACGGGCATTTCAAACTTCAGAAACGAAATCAAATGGTACAAATCCCTCTCTCGTTATTTGAGACTTACATTTCCTCACTTTCTGCTTCAATGTTTACATCATTTTTTGTACATTTTTCATTTCAAATAGTCGTCGAAAAAGTCGAAATTGTATCGGAAGTGTCGAAAGTAATTTGAAAGCTTCCGTATGGGTTTTAGCACGATATTAACGAGGGGGAAGTGAAGATTAAGATGTTACGAAGAGTTGGGGAGAAAATAGGTGATTTTGCAAAAGCGAATTTATGCTGGAAAGTCAATTTGACGTATGCTTTGGGCATAAGAGTTTTGATTTGTCTTAATGCATATTATGAGCTAAATTTTATGAAACCCTATGTTGCATACAATGCTTATGAATTCCCACGCTGTCTATATGATGTAGCAAGCTCGAGACGAGCGTGTGGACACTCATCATAGGATAGTTTCATCAAGTCAGATGAAATAATTGTATTAATTTAAGAAAAATAATATTTTATAGGTTTTCATATGTTTTTTTTAGTTTGACACATGCATTTAGAAGACACAATTAAAAGACATAATTAAAATTATTTTTATGAGTAAAATTCAAGATTTCAAAATTTGAGATATTCATGAAGAAACAAATGTTATGTGGGATAAAGTAACAAACAGTATTAAACAAGTAGCAAAAGATGTGCTTGGAGAATCAAAAGAAAAAGTTTTTACAAATAATAATAGTTGGTGGTGGAATAATAATGTGCAAGAAAAGATAAAATATAAGAAGTTATGTTATAAAAATTGGTTTAATTGTAAAAGCTTAGAAAACTGTAAAAAATATCAAACGGCCCGCAGGGAGTCTAAAAGAACCATATGTGACGCTAAAAATTCTGATTTTAATGATCTTTATAATAGATTAGATACTAAGGAGGGTGAAAAATATATGTATAAACTAGCCAAACAAAGAGAAAAGAAAAGTAAAGATTTAACTCAAGTAAAGTGTATTAAAGATGAAAATCAAAATGTACTTTTCTTAGAAAAAGATATTCATCATAGGTGGGTGAGTTATTTTGATAAACTTTTTAATGAAGTTTCTGAAAATACGATCG